CCAACAAAGTTAGCCTAGGTACCCAACTAACACAATCAGCTATATAGAACTGTACTATAATAGGTTTATTATACTTTTCACACAAATAATACAAAGAAAAACACAAAAAGTAAAGAAAACATTTTTAATCTTATAGTACAGTACCTTGAAAAGTACAGTAGTACAGTACAACAGCTGGTATACAGGGGCCGGCATCGAGTGAACAGGCAAGAAAAGTTACTGACTGGAGGAGGGAGAGGAAGTGGGAGATAGTAGAGCTGAAAGATCATCAGCAATAGGAGACGGAAGGCAAGCTGTAATTTCACTCACACCTGACGATGATGGCACAAGTTCTGGTTCCTTGCTGGATTCAATTCTATCTACCCTCTTGAAAACATGATCCAGTGATATCCGGGTAGTAGCTTTTTTTTTCTCGTCATTGATGACACGGTAGCACTGGATTGCATTCTGAATGGCTGCTGCAAATTTCGTGTACCATTCTACATTCAGGTCCTGTGCCTCAAACACTAACAGTGCCTCCTCAAATAAAGAAAATCCTCTTGCCATTTCCCATGTCGTGAATCTCACCAGTTCTTCAGTTACTTCTTCCTCCTGTCTCTCTTCATCCTTTCTCTGGGCCGCCATTTCCTGGCGCTTCTTAGCAGTACCAGCTACATCACCGCTGCTTTTACACTTGCTTCCAGACATCCTGGGCTTGAAATAAAGACACTGTACTACTGTACTCTATACAGTACTGTACAGTAAAGTACACAAAAGCACAACCACTTGCAGAAGATGCAGACACATGAACTAACTTATGTGACTGGACACGGGAACGCACGTTCGCTTCTTTGAAAGTTTGCAACTCGAAAGTTCGTATGTAGGGGACTTACTAAATTTGTAAGTTTTAAATTGTGTGCCATTCTGAGTAGCTGTTCTGAGTGGCATGATGAAATCTTATACTATCCCACTACATCCCATCCAGAACATGAATCATCCCTTTGTCCAGCGTACCGGTACTATATATGCTACCTGCCCGTTAGCACTGTACAGGAAAAGAAAACATAATATATAGAGAGTTTGGTACCATCTGCAGTTTCAGGCATACATTGGGGGTATTGGAATATACATACCCCCGATGGATAAGGGGGTCTACTGTATTTATGAAAAGCTCTAAGGCAGTAGAGAGTAATAGGTGGGGTGTGGAGAGATAGGTGGGGTGTGAGAGATAGGAAAAGTTGGCCTAAAATGGGCAGTATAAACTGAAATAATAGAAGATAAAAAGCAGACATAACTGGGTGGAGGAAAGAGTGGAATCCCTTGTATTAATTCAAAAGGACATGGGAAACCATCAGAAAGCTAGTACTAGGGAAATGCTGTGATTGATGGGAATCATGAGAAATGGTTTTAGCTTCAATGAAGCAAAAAAATATTTGGAAATTGTACATCTTGATTTCTTGACAAATGCCATAATAATTTTATCATAATGGCACCAAGAAATATTTCAAATAGAAACAGATAAGTCACACATGTAAGTCACCCATTTAAGAAAACTTTACATCAGCGTAGGCTGAAGTGAAGGTTCATAGAATTGAAACTCAAACTGACAAGTTAAAAGAGATTTTACATGCGCTACTGAAACAATGGCACATCTTTTGTAATAGTTTATTATTTGGGAGAGGAAAAAATGTCTTAAGGAAACTGCCAACGTGTCAGAAGCATTTTGAAGCCCTCAATATTTAAATCAAAATACTTTCTAATATGTACTGCCTCAATCCATAAATCAGCAACTTACATGGCCAGTCAAATTAGTCTTGTCTTGATGACAAGAATTTATTTACATAAACTAGTAGTCTTGGCTCTGCTCACCGTAACAACACCCACAGCATAGTTTGGTCCTTTATCAGTTAGTATATTAGTATGCTATGATAACAAAATATCACAGACTTGGTGGCTTACACAACAGAAGTTTATATTCTTATGGTTTTGCAGGCTAGAAGTCCAAGATCAAAATGTCAGCCGATTTGGTTTCTTCTGAGGCCTCTCACCTTGGCTTGCAGATGGCTACTTTCTTGCTGTGTCTTCAGGTGGTAGTTCCTTTGTGCACATGCATACCTAATGTTTCTGTGTGAAATTTCCTCTTCTTATAAGGACACCAGTTAGATTGTATCACTATTAGAGCCCAACCTAAAAGCCTCATTTTAATTTAATCACCTCTCTAAAGTCCTTACCTGTAAACACAGTCACATTCTGGGGCACTAGAGATCAGTGCTTCAACATATGAATTTGGAAGGGTGGGGGGAGGCACAGATCATCCCGTAACAGTCTTTAGGTGCAAACAACTAAAATCAAGCCCAATTTAATATATATATATTAAATATATATATAATATATATATATAGGAAATGTTGCCCACAGAATCTAAGGAATCTGATAAACTTAGGATATCCAGAATCTTGAGAAGCCTGGAGAATCAGGCTGGGAAAACCTAAAGAGCAAGAGATAATAGCAAAGAATGTAATTAAAGTGTAAAGCAGATACTGCCACTGACCTACCACCTGGATTTGTAATAAAGTGTATTCTTCTAATGCCCTGAAAGACTCCAGAACTCTTCCTGAGTCTTGTCTCATTCCTTTGAGATAAAAAAACGTAGACATGGGGGTGGGGGGAGGTGGCAGGAAGAATCTGCCTGCCCAACCCTAAATTATGTAGCTAGAATCTGGTTCTGTGGGATAAGGGAAAGGGAGAAACTTGCCCCTTTAGTTTCTAAAGTGGGAATTTTAACGTAATGGGTTATCCCTCTCTCTCTCTCTCTCTCTCTCTCTCTCTCCCCCTCTCTCTCTCTCTCTCTCTCTCTCTCTCACACACACACACACACACACACACACAGGAAGGACCTTTGGTTTTGTTTGTTTTGGATCTTGGATCTCTATTCTTTTCTCTTACCCCCGCCCCAGATTTATCGAGATATAATTAACACATAATATTGTGTAAGCTTAAGGTGTACAATATGGTGATTTGACATGTATATGTTGTGAAACTATTACCACAATCAAGTTAGTTAACACACCCATCACCTCACATAAGTTACTGTGTGTGTGGGGGGGTGTGTATGCGTGTGTGAGCAAACTTTTAAAATCTACTCTCAACAACTTTCAAGTATACAATACAGTATTGAGTTTTTTACTATTTATTCTAAAATTTATTATGCATCTTTTTAAAAATTGAAGTATAATTGATTCATAATACTATATTACCATATTGTTAACTATAGTCAGGAAGCACCTTTGGCTGCTGGGTAGCAAAGAAATAATTTCTTCAGTACCAAATCTCCTACTCCCTAGAGACTCAGGTCCAAGTTATATATTCTGATGTCTTCTAAAGAGGTAGTTAAGGGAACAGACTACATCCAAGGCAATAAATCCACAGCCTGTCTACCAAATCAATCAGCCAGGACCAACATTTTTTTTAACTTTTTTATTTTTTGAGCTCTTTTATGGTGGGCATTTACCTCAGGTTTAACGCTGGTCCACTATTCCTTAGTGCAGGGGTCCCCAACCCCCAGGCCTCGGACCGGCGGCCTGTTAGGAGCTGGGGCGCACAGCAGGAGGTGAGCGGCGGGCAAGCACGCTCCCCATCCCTCTACATCGCTCGCATCACCGCCTGAACCATCTCCCACCCCCCCCCACCCGACCCCAGTCCGTGGAAAAATTGTCTTCCACGAAACCGGTCCCTGGTGCCAAAAGGGTTGGGGACTGCTGCCCTAGTGTATTTCATTCGTCTTGACACCCATGTTTATATCCCTGCTTTCTGGGGCATTTGAATTTGTAACCCCTGGACTACACCTTTAAACTTTGTTTTGTGGAAGTTTAGTTTAAATTATAAAGGAGTAAAAGGTATTGAATTCCTAATCCTACTTTCATTTGCTACTGGATACCACAAACAAGTAATTATCTCAGAAAACAGTGAATTCAATGAGTTAGACTTATTTCTAATCTATGAAGAAATGACTATGAGGGACGAGGGCTATCAGAGGAGGTACTATATTTTAAAATGTATATATTCCACTTAAGGCAAGACAGGATCTTTTTTTTCTGCCTGGATCACAACTGCGGGGCAGAAACAAAAGTAATGGTCGGACGTAGAAGGGAATTAAGACCTATGAACCTGGGGCCACTACTATAATTTAGTTTCTAGATTCTTTATAATGCCCCCATATTTGTTACTTATAATTCATCAGTTTTATAAGAATGATTACCGATAAAATTCTTCAAAAATCAAAGGGCCCAAAGCTATCCTTGGGAGCACTAAAAAGAGAAACAAGGCAAATACATTTCACCCCCACGGGAAGTCTTAAAGGAGAAGATTCTCAAAGAATCAGAAAGATTATAATACTGAATAGAGAAGAAGGTGGGGTCCTTCCGTCTTCTGACATGAACTACAAAAATAATAAAAGATAAACAAGAAAGTAAATAAGTAAAAGACAGAGGAGTCCACCCATCAACCAGGGACAGGATCCCAGATGAAGTAAAATACGTCACACACACACACACACACACACGGGATTCTTTGGCATTATCTTATGCAGAAAGTTTCGAAGTTTACTTCTTCGTAAACCTTCACAGTAACCTGAAGCACGCTGCACTCGCCGGCCGACCGGCCCTGCCCCACCTGGGCACGAGAAGAAGGTAACTGGGTACCCTGAACCTCCAAGCATCCCCGAGTTGCTGCGGCTGCTCGGTGATCACCCAGGCTGTGGATGCTACAGGCGACCACTAATCCAGCAGGCAGAAAAAGCCTCCACCCGAGGCGAAGATGGGCATGAGTCGCACACCCTCAGCGGAACAGGATGCGCAGGGAGAACTCAAGCGCAGTGTGTTCCAACCCGCTCGCCCCAACCATTATGAGGCCTGCCGCAACCAAGAAAATGCTAGGCGCGTAAGTGACATCACGTGTGACGCCCGGTCATTTTTCCCACGTCCCGTCCCTGCCCCATCCTGGCCGGCCGCTGCGGAAGCGCACGCGCACCTCCGCTTCCGCGCTCCTCCGCTTCCGCGCTCCTTCGCTACCCACAATGCTCCGCAGCACCGAACTGTCGCAAAGGCCGCGTTTCGGCGGCGAGTGAGCGACTAGCTTTCCGTGTGGTGCGGCGGCAACGGCTGCGCGCGTCTCCCTCCTCCTTCTGTCGCGGGGCCAGAGTGCCTGAGGGAGTCCAGCTACGCTTAAGTCTGGCCGGTGCCACCTATCTCCGCAATGCCCCCCAAGAAACAGGCTCAGGCCGGGGGCAGCAAAAAGGCGGAGCAGAAAAAGAAGGAGAAGATTATTGAAGTGAGTACCCACCCCCTCCCCCACTCACGCCGCGAGTCCTCAGGAAAGAAGTCTCCCGGTTCCCCGCTCCCCGGCTCCTGTTCGCGTCTTCCGGGGCCACGTGCCTCTCCCTTTGGTTCTGTGTGCCCACAGCCCCTTCTCCAGCCCCCTGATGACGCTCACTGCCTCTCATCGCTGTAGTGACGCCGCTGGCGCCCCCGCACCCAGCCTTTGCTTCTCCGCCCACACGGTAGCCTTCACTGGGTCGCGTGCGAAACGACCCCTACCCCAGTGCCCACACAAGGTTGTGTCCTTCGCTAGTCACCGAAATTGAAGACGTTTTTAGGCTAGTGTTTTAAAAAATACGCTGAACTGCCCCGGACCAGACTGTTTCTGGGAGGCCGACTCATTACGAGCCTTTGTGTTCCTTGTTTCTTTACCCGTCACCTAGGAATAGTGGTTACTTCTTTCAGAGCAACAAATTAGTTCTTCATGGCCGTCTCGATCCATCTCTAAACTGTTTGAAGTTACATAAAGAGAGGAGGTTTCTTTCATGTCGTAGCCCACCGTCTTGTACATGGCGCTTGTCACAGATTCTGAGTTACATTAAATCCAATGACGTTTTAAGAGAGATTAGGTCTCATGTCACTAGCTGTGTACAGTGCCGTATCTGGATTTGTTATATATTATACATATTCATTTAGTGCACTAAGCCTGTTGCCCTTTAATGGCAGAGGAACGTTGTTGACGTTCTCAAATGTTTTATGTTTGTAGTCCAACGACTGTATCAATGAGTTTCCTTAAGAGAGTGGACCGTATTTGAGATTCCATAAACGTATAGTGTAGTCCCCAACAAGATATTTCTTCCCTCAATTCCTGTTATTAATCCTTCTCATTATTAAACAGTTCCTCGTGTACGTTAGAAGTAATTGGAAAAGCCATGACCGTTTTTCCTGCATGAGGTATATCTGAATAATTAATGCAGAGCCTTTTGTGGAATAGTTAACTTTTTATTAGAACACGACCAAAATGCGTGTTGTGCTTGTTTTGAAATGAGATGTTTATTTATAAATGATTATTATTTTTAATATTTAGTATTTATAGCCTTGAAAAATAGGATTGAAAGCCCCCAGGGTTTCATTGTATAAATCTAATCAGAACTTTGTCAAATTTCACAAAAGTTTTAGTCTGTTGGTTGAGTTTAACTAACATGCTTATTTAGAATTCTGGTAGCCTTGGCCAAGTTCCAACACTGAAACAGAACCTGTATTCTTATTGCCAGTTTGTGCTATTTAGAACTGTCATGAGTAGCATAACCAGAGATTTGAAAACAGAATGATTGTCACCTTCACACCTGTGTCTGCTATACCTTTTTGAACAATCTGGACTCCTGGCACTTAGGTAGATCTCTGGGGATGGAGATCTGATGGCATTCGGTACTGTGTAAATAAACCAGGAGCATTTTAGGGATGACATTTTTCCTGTTAACTTCCTTTACTGAGGTTGTATTAACATGTTAGACCATGATGCCAAATACAACTCCCATATAGACATGAAATTAAATGTTACATGACAATTTAAGTATACTTAACACATTATCAAGTTTTAACTATATATGATTGTTTCTGTTTTTAAATAAATATTTATTTTTGTTTTAAGGAATTGTAAATGAAAGTTACTTATAGTATCCCATCGACTAAAAATGGTAGTTATATTATGGATTCATTCATCTTGTTACAAGGTTATTTTTAAGATAAAGAGGACTTTAGTTTCATTAATGAAGACTTCACAAAAGAAAATTGCAAAATAGCTGTATTCTTTAGCCAAAAGTATTCTAACAGAATGGTGAAATTAAGCCTTTTTTCCTCACATTTAACATATATGATGAGTGTGTGTTTTTTTGTTTTTTGTTTTAAATGGTAGTGTGCTGCATAGATCTTTGCTACCACCAGAGAGGAATGACAATATTTTAAGTTGTAGGTTAAGTTATATCATTTTTTGTGAAACTAGATTTATAGAGAATATTCATCCTGGTTAGGAAACAGTATATTCCATTTTGTTAAATATCATATGTGACTTTTTTTTTTTTTTAAACTTACCTAAAGCCCTAACATATCTCAGTGGCTCTTGCAAGGGGTTGAGGAGAGTTATAGCAGGCTTAGCTCCCAGCTCCTCAATCAGATTTCATCCAGAACAGCACTTTATCAATTTTTGTATAATTTGCATAATTTTGAATACTAGAAAGGATTTTTATTACCAAAGCCTTTAAAAGTTAAGATGAAGTAAAAAATATATTTTTAAGAATTCTACATGTTTTTTAATTTTTTAAGTTTTATATACAACTTCTAAAGGTTACTTTCCATTTATAGTTATTACAAAATATTGACTGTATTCTGTGTGTTGTACAGTACATCCTTGAGCCTATATACACCCAATAGTTTGTACCTCCCACTTCTCCACCTGTATATTCCCCCCTCCACTGGTATCTAGTAGTTTGTTTTGTGTTTTATTCACTACTTTGTTGTGTTTTTTAGAGTGCACATATAAGTGATATCATACAGTGTTTGTCTTTCTCTGTCTGACTCATTTAACTTAGTATAATGCCCTCCAAGTCCACCCATGTTGCTGCACATGGCAAAATTTCATTCCTTTTAATGGCTAAGTAGTATTCCATTGTGTGTGTGTGTATGTATATGTACCATACCTTCCTTATCCATTCATCTGTTGATGGACACTTAGATTGCTTCCATATCTTGGCAATTGTAAACAATGCTGCTATGAACATTGGGGTGCATGCATCTTTTCAAATTAGTGTTTTGGGGGGGGGTTGTATATATACCCAGGAGTGGAATTGCTGGGTCATATGGTAGTTCTATTTTTAGCGATGTAAAATATATTCTGCAACAGACTTATAATGAACGTAATTGGAACCTGGTTCATACTGGTTGTTTATCTCTATGACCATAATATTTGTGGAAAAAAATATTTCTTTAAAGTCTATACTTTGACCTGTAAAAGGCTAATACTTATTTAAGTGTCTGGTTAATTTTGGAAAGTTTTTATAGGACTATGACCCGAAATTCTAAGTTTACCAAAAATTGACAGTTAAGTAGAACATACGCTTTTTAAGCAGTACTTTTGAAGAGATTTTAAAATAAGTGGTTGCACTACTTGCCTGTCCCATCTTCTGTATCTCTGTTGCTTCCACTGCCACCACCATAGGCACTCACTATAGAAGAACAACAGCAACACGTAGCTTTTGAGAACTCCAAGTAAAGGAAGTAAAAAGAGGCATGAGAGACAGCCTAATTTAATGAAAGAAGCACTGGCTTGGGGTGAGATAGACCTGCATTTGAGTCCCATATTTCACATTAAAATTTCAAATTTTGGAGGCTTCCCTGGTGTGGCAGTGGTTAAGAATCTGCCTGCCAATGCAGGGGAAACGGGTTCGAGCCCTGGTCTGGGACGATCCCACATGCCACGGAGTAACTAAGCCCGTGCGCCACAACTACTGAGCCTGTGCTTTAGAGCCTGCGAGCCACAACTACTGAGCCTGCGTGCCACAACTACTGAAGCCCGCGTGCCTAGAGCCCGTGCTCTGCAACAAGAGAAGCCACCGCAATGAGAAACCTGTGCACCTCAACAAAGAGTAGCTCCTGCTTGCCACAACTAGAGAAAGTCCGTGCACGGCAACAAAGATCCAACACAACCATAAATAAATGAATGAATGAATAAATAAATATATATATATTTCAAATTCTGTAGTTCTAGGCAAGTTACATGACCTATCTGAACCTCAGTTTCTCATTAGCAAAATGGAGCTAATTCCTATATTACAGAGCAGTGGATGACATGTAAAGTACCTGACGTATGGTATATGTTCAATTAATGGCAGTTGTTAATTTATTAATATAAAAAGCTAGTTAGGGGAAATAGACTGAACTGTACTGCTTTGCAGTGCTTACTTTCTATCACTTGAAATAATTTCCTTATGGTGCCTTCATTTTTTTTCTTTCCCTGTTTAAACTCCCCAAAATTTCATGAATTCATTTGCATTTATAAGTATTTTCTTTCCGAAATGAGTATATCAAAAAGGGTTATTTAAAAAAAGGGTTATGGTTCTGTTAAACATTCACACTGTTGTCTCAAATGGCATGCACTATTTGCTTTCTTTGGATGAAATTTAATAAACTGAAGTCAGCTTTGGGAAATGGAAGGTTTGTTAATGGAAACGGGGGGATAATCTGGGTTTAGGGCAAGCAAATAAAGGATGTCCAGCTAAGGCCTTGTAGCAGCAAGGAGGTAGTAATGGAGACCTATAGGGATAGGATCCAGGTATGTGAAGGATGGAGAAAGAAATGATTCTCGTTGCCAGTGAAAAACTTCAGCTAAGGTCAGCTGTTGATTACTTGAATCTATATTAACCAGCTGCAGAATATCCATTGCGTGGATAGACAACAAAAGTATACTGGAGTGCATTTGGGGAACAAACTAATGAGGTAAAACAGTGCTGGCCTTTGTTTATACTAGTGTCCCAAAAGGAGGACTCCAGTTATCTTGGAGTACTATTCATTATTGACCTGCACTCCTGCCCCCTTCCTTTATTCAGACATCTTATTTAAGGAGTAGAGGCTGTCCTGTAAAAGAAGCAGGATTACTGAAGAGTGGACGGGGGAGAAACTGTCAGTTTTAAGTGAAGTCTGGAGTTCACTGAGTGTTAAGGCTTTTGGAACCTCTGGGAGTCGTCCTTTTCTTAGAATTACTGCCTGTTCTCTAAACGCCTTCGTATTTAATTTCCCAAGTCTGGAACACACACTGTTCCTTCCTTATCACTTAATGAGGACCACTGTTTCCCTAGTTTTATTTTAACCATGATTTGGGGTTGAGTATAACCTCCAGTCTTCCCATCTCATATCCCCTGACCCTAAATCCAGATTAATCTGTAGGTAAGGTCTGTCCTGAACTCAAGAAAAAGGGAAAGGAAGCCTTTTGGAAGTATTCTGAATTTCAAACTATCCTATTTTCAAGAGGTACTGTTAGTATCCCAGGTCCACAGTGTAATATTCAGAAAACGTTGTGTACCAACCGACCCAATAACCTAACTAGTTTCTCTGGGAAGTAGTTTTTCCTGGTGGTAAGAACAAGGACTTTGCTTGGAGTCAGATATACCTGGGCCAGACACAGTTCTCAGTGTTTTGGGGAAAGGAAGGAAAAGAAACAAGCCATCTACAAGTGATAAATTTACACAGCTCCTTTAATTCTCTCACTGAGATAAGTACCTTTTTGCAGTTGAGGAAACAGAAACAGGTTAAATAACTGGCCCAAGGTTATTAAGCCGGCAAGTGGCAGAGTCAGGATTCTGGCTCCAGAGTCCTTGATGTTAACCACTGTGTTCCACCTCTTTGTAGTAACCCTAAGAGGTTAGAGTGAGACCCACTTTACAAATAAGAAAACTGACAAAGAAGGTAATTTGCCCAGTCCTGTTTGGGATTAGAATTTGGCCAGTCTGACTCCAGAGCTTATACTCTTGAATCATTACATTGTACAGCCTGCCCCTTATTAGCAGTGTTACTTCAAAAGAATTGAAGATTTCTGAGTTTCAGTATCAACATTTACAGAATGAGGTAATAGTATATCATATGATTGTTAAGAGGATTCAATAAAGTATATATTCAGAAGTTTATGTTTAGTGAATACTAGGTAAATAAGTATCCCTTATCTCTGGAAAAAAATAACAATTTCCAAGTTCTAACCTAATTAGAGACTTCCAAGACACAACTCATTCATTCTCTTTAGACTGGTTAATTATGTGCTAAAGCAGTGTAATTAAACCTGAAAAACTTTTTCTCCTGGAATCTGGAGCTTATATACTTCTACCAGAAGCTGTTGTCATGAGTACTTTCTTCTCTAGCTGGCCACATCCCCTTAGAGGACTTTTTTCTTTCCTAAGTTTTCATATATCAGTATCTACCTTGCCGTTTGGCCTTGTTTATTCACAGTTTGCTTCTCATCTGTAGTTACATGTGGGGCATGAGACATATGTAGATGGTGTTGTACTTTTGAACCTCAGCATATGAAGATTGATAGTAGATGGATGAGTTGGTTAACTGGCTTAGTAGAGCAGAGCAGTTGGGCCTGAGGGCCCACCTAGGAGTGTGCGATTGAGAAGCAGGTGGGTTTGCTCTGAAGAAGTCTGCAAAAGCTTGACAGTGGGAGGTACTAGGTAATGCAGAAGGCGAGTGACTGAAAACTGGGTGTTAAAAGTATAGAAGTAGCTGATAGCTCTTACCTAGTCCTCTCGCCAGAAAGGGGGTGGAGGGGATAAATCAGGAGGCCTCTCTGCTTCTGTAACTAGGCACAAAGGATGTGGGGAGCATGGTTAAAATATGAGCCTGAAAAGGGCCACTAAGGAGTCTGTGTAGTAAACTAAGAGACACCTTCTCCCACCTGCTCTCTTCTCCAGTCCTTTAGCCAGGGTTATTGCTCTCCTAGCTAGAAGATTCTTCTCCAGAGAAACAGAAAAGACAGGAAAAAAGACTTCAGATACCAGTGTTTGGTGGTTTCCTGACAGCCTTTTCACCCGTTTACCTTAGAGTGAAGCTCACTCAGTCTAGCTTCTTGTGTTAGTTTCTTAGGGCTGCCATAACAAATTACCACAAACCAGGTGACTTGAAACAGAAATTTATTCTTTCACAGATGTGGAGGCTAGAAATCTGAAATCAGGTGCAGGCAGGGCAGTGCTCCCTCTGAAGGCTCTAGGGAAGAACCTTTTCTTGCCTTTTCCTGGTTTCTGGTGGCTTCTGGCAGTCCTTGGCATTCCTTGGCTGATAGCTGTATCACTCTAATCTCTCTGCCTCTTTCTTCACATTGCCTTCTCTCTCTATGTTTGTGTCCTTTCCTCTTCTTATAGAGATACCAGTCATTGGATTTAGGGCTCACGGTAATCCAGTGTGACTTCATCTTAATTTATTACAGCTACAAAGACCTATTTCCAAATAAATTCTCACATTCTGAGGTCGGGGTAGGCATGAATTTGGGGGGAGGACCCTATTCAACCCACTGTAGCCCCCAAACACACACACAGTTGTGCAGTGCTTTCTAAATGTTTTTGTGCTGTATACTTACTAAATATGAATAAGTAGTCAAAGACCACCGTTAGTGCCTTGCACATAATGAGCATACCATAAGTGATAGCTGCTATTGTATTAATAACTTGCCCAAATTACTATTTAATAATATTCCAAATTTAGATTGTTGCTTTTTAGTTAGGAATACTTCAATTTTAATATTTCCTTTTTAGCAACAACTAGTAGTGTATATTTTAGTAGTTTGGTTTCTATAAATTTAATTGTTTTGAGAGGATAGCTCTATTACCCAAAAAAAACAATCCAGAACTTAATGTATCTTCTTATGCAGTATTCCCTAAAATGTGTTCAGTAGTGCATAATCCCTCAGGATACTCTGAGAAAAATGTTTTCTGAGGTAAAATAAGATTTGGGATTGCTGCCTACTGTATCTCCTCTGGTAAAGGCTCTCACATATCTTGTGCTTGAGAATTAAAAACCCTGTTAAATAAGCATTTTCCTAAACTTATTTGACTGTTGAACTAATTATCCTGGTGTAACAACTCTGCACATCCTGTAATACTGATACTCTAAAAACACAATTCAGAAAAAGCATTATAGGCTAACAAGCTTATTGACGATAGTTATAAGTATGTATTGAATCCTAAAGAATCCTGGGTGATGTTTTGAGCTCATATGTTGCCTAGACTTGTCGTTGTAGTGTTTTGCATGTCTGTGTATAGCATAAAGAAAGAATAATTTTCTTACCAATGCGTAAATGAAAGAATGATTTTTAGACATGACTGAAAAAATAGATAAGAAATTAATATAAATTGCTAAGATATCTCAATAATTTTTCTCATTTAGGACAAAACTTTTGGTCTAAAGAATAAGAAAGGAGCAAAGCAACAGAAGTTTATCAAGGCTGTCACTCATCAAGTTAAATTTGGTCAACAAAATCCACGTCAGGTAAATAACTTAAATTTCTTCGTTTTCTTCATATGGATGTAGTACAGCATCGTTGCAGATAAAAATGTTTGATATTGTAATTGTGTTTCAAAATGGAATCCTAGGGCTTCCCCGGTGGCGCAGTGGTTGAGAGTCCGCCTGCTGATGCAGGGGACACGGGTTCGTGCCCGGGTCCGGGAAGATCCCACATGCTGTGGAGCGGCTGGGCCCTCTGTGAGCCATGGCCGCTGAGCCTGCGCGTCCGGAGCCTGTGCTCTGCAACGGGAGAGGCCACAACAGTGAGAGGCCCGCGTACCGCAAAAAAACAAAAACAAAACCAAAAACAAAATGGAATCCTACTCTATAAACTTTCCTGCATCTTGCCTTTGTTACTCAGCAATACCTTTTAGATATTCCTCCAAGCCATTTTGATATAGTTCTAATTTATTCTAATGGCTGCATACTATGATGCGGATGTACAGTATCCATCCATTTCACTATAAGTAATCATTTTGTTTCCAGCTTTCTGACATTAAGAACAATTGTACAAGAAATATCCTTATACATGTGTTTTTACATGCATTTGTGTTTTTATTTCGGTAGCATAAATTGTCTGGTGACACATTTCTAAATAAAGGGAAATGGATTTCTAATTTTTAATAAATTTGCCTGATCATTCTCCATAGAGATTGTAATACTTCAGATTTTCATTTGCAGTATGTGAGTTTTAGGTACTAAAGCTCTTTTTAATGTTTTCCAATCTGATTATGTATAAAGTGATACCTCATTTTTACTCTTTCCCTTACTCCTAGTGAGTTTGAGTACCTTTTCATAAGCTTGTTGGCTAATTTGGTTTGTACTTCTCTGACTTGTCTATTCAAATCCTTTGCTTTTTTGGTTATTTGTCTTTTTATTGTCAATTTATGAGAGACACCTTCTGTCTACATTATAGATAATTTGTGATGTTTCTGTTACATTTTGTTGTACAACAGTTTGTATTGTCAGATATGTCTAGTTTTTCTTTTATATGGCTAAAAGGTCTCCCCTGCCATGAGATTATGTGTGTTTTTCCTCGATTTTTTTCTAATTATTTTATTTGCACAGTCTGTAATTTTATCATATAAATTTATTTTGTATGATACTAAGTTTATTTCTTTTAAAATGAATAGCCACTTATACCAGCATCGTTCATCTCACTGAATTGAAATACCCATATTGACATATATTAAAGTCTCATGTATGTTCAGATCTATTTCTGGATTCTCTTTTCTTTTCTGTTTATTGTCTTTCCCTAAACCAGTATCACATTGATTTTGATTATAGTGACCTAGTAACATATTCTGTTAGCTATTAAGGCAAGTCCTTCCCCCCCAAGATGTTACTCCTTTTCTGTTTTTCCTGGCTGTTCTTAGGCGTTTATTTTTCCATATGAATTTTGAAATTATTTTATCATTCATCAGTTTTACCATTTTTTTCAAAAAAATTTAGCTCCGTTTTCTTCACATCTCTGTATTCTCAATTCTTCATTTTATATAGATCTTTCACTTTATTGAGTTCAGGATTTTACAGACATGGACCTTTATTTTAAAAAGTACTTTTTTCACCACCCTATCTCCTTTTCCTCAACTTTTGGAAACACTTTTTTTTTCCATCTGAAAATATCAGAATATATATTTGTGAGATAGTTAACCTCTGTCACTGATGCTGTCTACAAATTAGTGCCTCCAACACTTTTGTTTCTCTTACACAGTTTGACTCTAAAGCCAAAAGCTTGATCTTCCACACTGCTGACTTAATAGCGTGGTTTCATAAAAATGCATGCTCAGGCCTTGGAATCAGATCAACTTGAGTATGCATCCGCCTATCTTATTTGTTACATGATCTTAAATTATTTAGTGACACTGGTCTTTAATTTGTAGTATAGTATAAGGGGGGCAGTTACCCTTGTAGGGTTTCTGTGGTTTAACTAAAAGAGAAGATAATGTAAATCATCTGGCATAATATAAGAATTCATTTCAAACATGTTCCCTCCCCCCTGTTTTTTCTTCTAGTGGGAAGTATATTGACTGGTATTCAAATTTTATAGACCTGAGAAAGCCATAAAATGTGTTTTGGTTGTTAGGCTTGATAGTACATTTAGTAATATATTTTTGATAATTTCTTGGGTACCTGACCTTTTATCTGTGAGCTTGAGTTATCTAAACACCATACGTAACATTGGAAATGAGCAGCAGTCTTGCTGTTGGAGCCAAGCAAGAGATGCCTCACCCTAAACCCTGTGATGCCGAGGATGACCCTACTCTGTGTCTCCTCCAGATGTACCTCTCCCCACACCAGCTCAGGGCCTGCAAAGGTCAGTTACCCCAAATCCATCTTAGGGTATACTACACTGCCAATATGCCTGAAGTAGTCAAAGGCAGGATATGTGCTAGGAGTGTGGACAGAGCCTTGATCCATTCCATGTTCTCCTCTGCACCTTCTTTCTCCCTGCACAAATGTGGTGGGATGAAACTCAGGGTGGGAAGCGGAGGAGCCAGGGGTTGACTCTCACTTTACTGCCATGCTCCAGTGTGGAACTCCATGGGGCCTAAGCGTTTTAAATTTGAAACTGTCCTTCCAGGTCACAAGGTATGTTTGTCAAGTAGGGGTACAAACCATACTAGGTACAAACCATACTTTATTTAACATTAGTTTGATTTCTAATTTATAAATATTTACAAAAATGATTTGTAGGCATCCACTGAACTCTTGCTTGGGGTCCCACAAATGTCTGAGATGGGCCTAATGAGCAAAGAATACTTTTTATTAAAAATAAAGTGACTTAAATGTTTTCTTTTTAGAAAACTTCTCCCATTTTTCTGTTTAAACACATCCGACCCACAGGGTCAAAGTCAGGATTTAGAATGCCTTTAACCCTATTATAGTATTTGGCCAATCTTTCCCTAAAATTTCCTCTTCCTTTAATACATCTTTGTCCTGGATTTCTGTTTCTTTGATGTTTCTTTGTTCCTTTAACAGGCTTTTTAGGTTCTGTTGGCTTGTTTAATATTGGTATTCTTCAGGGAGCTGTTCTCTGCTCTTACCACTTTTTTATGCTGTCCTTGCGTAATCTGATACACACCCAAAGTTTACTTATTTGTAAGCAGCTATTTCTAAAATCTTTATCTCAAAGCAGACGTTCTCTCCGGGAATCAAGATCCATGTCCAGCTGCCTTTTAAATAGCTCCACCTAGATGCCCTGTAAGCATCTCATACTCAGTATGTCTAAAACTGAGCTCATCCCCACCTCCTGCCCTGAAACCTGTTCCTCCTATATTCCCTGTCTTGTTTAACAGCACTAACCATGCAAATGATAATCCTAGACTCCTCCCTCTCCCTTATACTTCATGTCCAGTCACTTAGTCTTAACAGTTCTACCTCCTTAAGAGCTCTCCTTCCCCTTTCCTCCATCCTTGCTACTAATGCCTATTTAAATTAAAACTCTTGTGCTTTCTTGCATACAGCAATTTCATTAGCTTCCTAATTTTTATTGCCTTCATTCTTGGGCTCCTTCTAGTCCACCCTTCGTAAAGTTGTGATCTTTATAAACTACAATCTGATTGTATCACTGGCTTACTTTAAACTCTTGAGTCTTATCCTGTCACCTGTTGATACAGTCCAAATTTCTCATTGATGTCTCTCATACCTTTTTCATATCTTTGCACTGACTGACACTCTCTGCATTTCTTGCCCATCAAAAGAATTCATCCGTAAAGTATTAGCTCAGTCTAATTTTCTTAGGCATATTGGCATTCTTTGTTCCCAGAGCACCATGTATTATATTATAGTTGTTGACATGTCTGTCTTCCCACTAGATTCCAAGCTTCTTTAAATAAGCATCTTTGTCTTTTCATCTTTGTATTCCCTGTCATCTAACATAGGACCTGACATATAAATGTTTGGATGAATCCTCTAATCATATTAGGTATGTAAATTGTGTGCCTGGAATTATGTCATATGTCATGTTTTGTTTTGTTTTGTTTGATCTCCCCCATTGACCTAGCCCAGTGTTTTTCCACAAGGGTACTTATAGGTATTTGGGTTGGTACAATTCTTTATTGTGTGGGACTGTGCATTTCAGGATGTTTGTATCTCTAATCTTCAAAATGCACCTACTTGTTTCTGGGTTGTTGTCACAGGAGAAATTCCCAGGTGAGAACCATTTGCTAAAAATGCTGGGCATGTAGCATATGCTTAATAAATACTATTGCTATAAGCTTTTGAATATGCTTTTAACTTGGCATGGTACCATTTATAGGGTTTTTTTTTTGTAAAAGTCAGCTGCTACAAAATTTAGCAATTTCATTTAATAGTTTAACCACACCATTTAATATATACTGGAAGGCCATTGTAACACTGATATTAAGAAGTAAGAACTATATACATGTAATATGCACTTGTCTTTATGTCAGTGATATTGTATATTACTATATAGTAAAAACAATTCATTATATGAAATCAAATTTACATTTTATACCTGGGAATATTATAGGTAGCACAAAGTGAAGCTGAAAAGAAGTTGAAGAAAGATGACAAGAAGAAAGAATTGCAAGAGCTAAATGAGTTGTTCAAACCTGTAGTTGCTGCTCAAAAAATAAGTAAAGGTAAACTTTAAATTTCAGAAACGTTATTTTTATCAAATGTAATTCATATTTTAACACTCTTACTATGTTTTCTTCAGATTATAAGCCAGTTGTGTATGCTATGAAAATAATACTCCCTTTGTCAAAGTTATCTTTGTCAGTGACTTTCTTATGGTTCCTTTATACATGTGCATAGCTGTGTCATACAACTGTAAGACCAGCCATTAGCCCCTCACTTAAGGGAAAATTAAGGATTTGGGGTAGTCTGCTAGTTGATTTATAATATCCAATCTTTGGTAGTGGGCAAAGCAAACCTATGGTTGTAAAAACTGTAAATCCCAAACTGTTGGTAGTATACCTGCATTTATATTTCTCTTTTGCCTCCTGCCTCATTGACGCTAACTAGACAAGTGATGATAGAATAACCTATGTGTTTGCTTGGTTTCTCACCCCTGCTCTCTTTCTTTTTGGTAAGAAAAAAGGAAACAAAAATAGATATAAAATGCTATAGAAAGAACTTAGAAGAAATGTCTTATTGTTCATTTATATATGGCATTTCCTCTCACACCAGTAATAGAAAATAACAAGTTAACCAAAAGTAATTATATCTCAGATAGAAGCTCTACTTTGTGATCTGGCAGAGTATAGTACAAATACCATATGCTATTTGACATAGGTGCAGATCCCAAATCCGTGGTATGTGCATTCTTCAAGCAAGGACAGTGTACTAAAGGAGATAAATGTAAGTTCTCTCATGACTTGACTCTGGAGAGAAAATGTGAAAAACGAAGTGTTTACATTGATGCAAGAGATGAAGAGCTTGAAAAAGGTATTTTTTTTTAAGATATTCTCTTAAAAATAAATGTATATTACTTTTGGTTTGTTGTCAATAAGATATTTAATAACTTGAAGACTATTTCAGTCTTAGTAGGACTGTGTTTGTCCTAAAGAATAGTTGTGTGTTGTTGTTTTTCATAAAATCTGAATTTACCATATTATGCCCTTTGATTAAGTAAATGAAGATGTTTAAAAAACAGTGGATTATTTTGTATTTGTCTCTTACCCATTCTTCCAGTACTACTTTCTCATTTGCCTAAAGTACTTAGATTTTAGTGGATAATCTCACAACAGTGTTATTCCTACCTTTGGTGTTTTAAAGGAAATGTGTTTGGTTGTGAGTCTTAAAATAGAACTTTCCTGTGTAAGGATATATGCAGTGTGTTTTGGGGACAATAGATAAAATTACAGTATTTAGTCTCCATATCTCTTTTTATTTAGATACTATGGATAATTGGGATGAGAAAAAACTGGAAGAAGTAGTGAACAAGAAGCACGGTGAGGCGGAAAAGAAAAAACCAAAAACTCAAATAGTATGTCCTTTTCTTGAATTGAGTTGCTGTGGTATTTATCATTAGGGAGAATTAAGTGGCAAGGTATTTGCTGCTGTTTTCTACTGGATTATTCTTTAAGTTATTGCCTCTTTTCATAAAGATTAGGTGAATCAAGCTTTGTTTTTGGAATTTACAGGTGTAAGTTATACAAAATTTGTTTCTTGTTTAAAAGTGACTTGAAAACCATGTGACTGAAGTCCTTCAAATGCCGTTTTCTGAGGTGGTTTTACTTTCTCAAACATGTAGAATTCTTTATTTTTTTGTGCAAAATGAATGGAGGTAGAACTATTAAATTAACCCACTTAATTCATAACATATTCTGTTTTAATGGTAGGGAGACATTAATAAATCACAAGGGTGAAAATATTGTTGCATATGAATTGCAAAATGAATTTTTATTCTGTAGTATAGTTACCATGAAAAACCTTGCCGTGTTAGAAAAATTCTAAGTATTGTTTTTACTTACTTCTATTGTATTTTTCAGGAAAAAAATGATACTTATTAGTTAATTTTTCCTTCTTGTTTGTAAAGCGTGTTTACCTAAGGCTTCAGTACAGTTGCATCTTGCACCCATTCATGTTTTAAAGGGTCACTATCCTTTGTGTTTCTTTTGTGCCTTGCTCCTTTCTTAGATGTAAGAAATTGCCTATAATTTCAGGTAATTCAAATAGTGTTAGTATCTTTACGCATGTGATTAGTTTTTAGGAAAGATCAAATCAAAACAAAGTTATTGGTTTTTATTTTTTTGTAACCATTTTTATTTTCTCATATTTGAAAACCAGACTTTTGGATTACATTTACAAAGCCTAAATGGCAGCAAATCTTTTTTGTATAATTCAGTTTAGAGCAATGTCAAAAATAGAAATTTTATACAGATCCTCTCTAAAGGGAATTTACCATTGTATTAAGTATTTTAAGATTAATTTATATTTACATTTCTGCACGCAAGGTGCTCTGTACGTAAGTGGTTAGCCTAAAAAAGATGTGAATTGAGTGTACTTGTTCCATATACCTAAGCATTTACCTTGGAAATGGACCACACTGAGCCACTGCTTGTGAATATTGTCTCTATAGGTGTGCAAGCATTTCCTTGAAGCTATTGAAAACAACAAATATGGCTGGTTTTGGGTATGCCCTGGAGGGGGTGATATTTGCATGTATCGTCATGCACTTCCTCCTGGGTTCGTCTTGAAAAAAGATAAAAAGAAAGAAGAAAAAGAAGATGAAATTTCATTAGAAGATCTAATTGAAAGAGAGGTAACTAGTATCTTTTTCCTACCATAAAACACTAAAGCAGTATTTATTGTGAAATTCTAATATTTACCACTTGGGGGCAATAGCATGTTGTTATGAAAAGGAAATGTAAGCCTAGCCATAATGATTAGCCAAGCATGACATTAATTTTAGGATTATGAAATATTTTTTTAAGTACTAGCTGCTGGCTTATCAAATAAACTGTTTCCATAAGATTGATATACTGGTATATCAGTTTGTGAAAATGCTTAGTCAGTATTCAGAGTGATTGAACTTGAAGTTTTAGATATTTTCCTTGGTGTCTTTATTTTTTGTCATTTTACTAATTATTTAGTAGTTTTTAACATGTGTGGAAGCAGACAACTCCACTACAGTTTTTCAGCTATATGTTTTATCATCATTCCTGGACTCAAAGACTCTTCAGCTGCTCATCTCTGGCTCAGCACAAGAGTTTTATTCTTGAGCTAGCAGATAGGGTTACTGAGTTAGCAGATAGGCTCTTGGCCTTGACATGAAAAATGTTGAGATTATTGGAAATACTAGATTTAGGGTTGTATGCTTCAGACTGTATCCATTTTGCCTTGTCTTGGGTAATCTAAATGTGTTGTGTACATGTCTAATGTTGAGATTATATACATTTGTTCTTAAAAGGACATACTGTTTGGTGTCTCACATAGGCAATATACTGTGATAGAAAATGTAGACTTTGGAGTCAGATATATTTGAGATTACTATTTGTATCCTGGTTCTGCCACATATTAGCTAATAACCTTTGGTAAATTTTCCATCACCCTCTGTTTGCTTATTTGTGGAGATGGATGTGTTAGCATATGTGTATGAAGTATTTAACATTGAATACCTGGCAGATGTTCAGCAAGTATTATTTTTCTGTATATTTATTATTTGATTATTGGCCCTGAGGAAAGCAGATGGTGCCTTTTGCTTAGTTTGTTTTCTCATCTCTTGAGGATCACAAATGAAACTTGGATATTGTCATGGTGCTTTTCGTATTTATTGTTTTCAGCAATTGACTTATTTTAAAACTATTTCTTGTGACGAGTTTTACTCATCTTCAATTTTGAAAAGACATCTAGCTCAGGATAATATATTTTATAATGTTTAGAAATGTTTGTATCTCTGGACATGCATTTTGCTCCTTGCCATGTAAAGTGAAAATAAATCAGTTTATTCTAAGTTTAATGTCTTCATAACAGTCATAGGCAAGGGCTTAATTGAAGTAGGAGAAAACTGTTAGATCATAGTATCATAGATGACTTTAGGGGGAGAAAATTAACTTTTTTATCTTTGCAGCGTTCTGCCCTAGGTCCAAATGTTACCAAAATCACTCTAGAATCTTTTCTTGCATGGAAGAAAAGAAAAAGACAAGAAAAGATTGATAAACTTGAGCAAGATATGGAAAGAAGGAAAGCAGACTTCAAAGCAGGGAAAGCATTAGTGGTATGTCCCAGACTCACCCAAATAGATTCTCTATTCTTTCTTCCATTTTATAATTTCTGTATTATGCAAGATTTTATCCTTATTTAATTATGTGTATGTCTAAAATCAGTGACCAAGAAATGTTTGCATTTTGTCCTGAGTTGATATATGCGTGTATTTGAATAGATCAGTGGTCGTGAGGTGTTTGAATTTCGTCCTGAATTGGTTGATGATGATGATGAAGAAGCAGATGATACCCATTATACCCAGGGAACAGGTGGTGATGAGGTAAGAGGAAGCGTTGTCACCTCATCTTCTCATGTTGATTGAGAGAAGCAGTAGAGAGTGACAGTAGAGCAGTATAGTTAAGAGTACCAACTTCGGGGCCTTGGTTCACATCCTGACTCTAACCTGGGAAATTAGTTACACGCTAGGCCTCCACCCCCATCTGTAATACGGACATAATGGTAATCCCTACATCACAGAGTACTTGTGAGAATTAAATGAGTTTATAAGTTTATGTTTATTTACAGTTCTTTATAGAACTTAGGTCAGTGCCTAATATATAGTTAAATGCTTATGTGTATTAGCTGTAAAATATGTTGTTTTCTCCCTCTAAAAGAAAAAAGCGTTTTGTTTAATATTTTATACTAAACAAAAAAAATCATGAGACAGACACTAAAAAGTACAGAGAAGGGAACAGGAGACAGCAGCAGAATTATTTGGTGATACAGAGACTTAGTATTAGCAAATAGCTTTTCATTTTTCATATGGTTATCATAAAATTCTGATTTCTGCCTTTGAGTTGAAAGATAGAAATATATATGTAAAAATATGATGTCAGAGGAAGAAGCTTCAAGTATGGCATTGCTATTCCTTTTTCAAGAAGTTTAGAAAAGTGAATTTTGGCAATAGTCATTTGTTTTCATTTGGCATTATTAATAATTTTATTTTATTAAGATAAATGTCAGAGGTAAAAGGCAAGTAATTTATGAAAACTTATTAGTAACACTTTCTTTTCTATGTGTTTTTAAAGGTTGATGATTCAGTGAGCATAAATGACATAGATTTAAGCCTGTACATCCCAAGAGATGTAGATGAGACAGGTATTACTGTAGCCAGTCTTGAAAGATTCAGCACATATACTTCAGAAAAGGATGGTAAGTATGCTGACTTTTGTGTAATTCTGAGAATTCAGAAACTGTCTAAAGGGGGTTAGGCCAGGCTTGGCAAACTTAGATGCCTGCAGGTATCTGACTGGTAACATATAAACATGTGATTTGGCCGTATATAAAAGTAGTAAACAGTGGAGGCTGTGGAAATGGGTGGCTGGTTGGATATTGAAGCCATTAACAAACTAGAAGGGGACAAAATGAGTTTCGAGATGTAGCTAATGAGTTCATTTCAGGACCTCATGAGTATGAGATATTTTGGTTATTAAAAGTGACGTTGTCTAGTGTACTGTGTAGACATTACCAGGAGGAAAAGGTTTGAAAGTCATCTGCATTGGTAGCTGAGAGTGAATGAACACACCCAGGCACAATACATATGATGAAAACATTCTAGAACAGACTGCAGAAAATATCAATGTTTTAGAGTAGTCAAAAGAGAAAAAAGCTTGGGAAAGACACTGAGAAGGACAGAGAAAAATTAAGAAGAATTTCAGGAAGATTAAGTAGGATGAGAATTAGAAATAATTCCTTAATTGTGATTAGGGAAGGAGTTGTAGGAATAGGGTACACAGTTTTCATTGGGACTGCAGTGGTATGAGGAATGAGGAGAAAAAAATGACTACAGATCACTCACTCTTAAGAACTTTGAGGGGGAGACATGGTCAGGATGTCATTTCATTTTAGGATATGGGAAATCTAAATATATCTGTTGGCCAGAGAGAAAGGATCTGGGAAAGAATGAAAAATTAAAAATGAAACAATACCAGGTATAGAAGCAAGATCTGGAAGTATAAATAATGAGTTCAGTTAAGAGTGAGAATGGAGGAGAGGCTGGCTAGGTGTATTTGGAAATAAGGATTGCTGATACAATTTATATCTAATTGTGCCTTGAGTGAGGATTTGAAGAAAAAAGTAAAAGTTTGGCATGGTTGCTGTGAGAGAAAAAGGTAGACTACTGATCAAGGCAAAAGTTGAGGGAAAAAAAGCTAAACGTTGTTTTTACAATAAAGGAATAAAAGTTATAACTTGAAAAACTGGCCTGTTCTCCTGAGATTTGAGAATGCTGTCAGACTACTGTCTTAATGCCAATCTGCAGACTGATTTGCTTCTTTGAAAAGTAGGGCTTTGGTGACAATAGGCACAATTGCAAGTACCTCAGAGGTTATAATTCCCAAGAATTTGTCATCAAAGATGTTTGAAATAACTTTAAATTAGGTTATTAAAAATTCTTTGTGTTCAGTATTGATGTCATTGAACAAGAAAAGGCAGCATTTTTGTTTTCTCAGTCATATAATTATAGCCTGAAAGGAAAAGTAGCTCCATAGCTCCAGGGTTGTTGTTTTTTTTTCCCACAGTTTGATGACAAGATGAAATATTTCTGCATTCACACTCATTTACAGCATTACAACTAGTGTGACTTAACTGCTATTTGTAAAACCAAAAGCTAAGTAGCTGCTTATATCATAAATGTTTTTTTTATTCCATAATCATTTATTCAAACAAAATATGTGGAAGTTGACTGTTTAAAAACCTAATTGTTGGGTCATGTAGAGGACACAAGGTTGTATAAGATAAATCTTGACCTCAAATGTATGAACCGTTAAGCAGTCAGATGTCTACAGTGAAAGACATATGTTATAGTAGGTATAGATAATTGATACAAATAAGCTCAGAAAAAGAGCAGTTCTTGTTGGAATGATCTTAGGGAAGGCTTTCATGGAAAAAGGAAAAGAAGTGTATCAGTCTGTGACTGTCCGTTGCTAATGGACTAGTGTTTTCTTTTTCTAGGCCTTACTGATTTCAATTTTTATTTTTAGAAAACAAATTAAGTGAAGCTTCTGGAGGTAGGGCTGAAAATGGTGAAAGAAGTGATTTGGAAGAGGACAACGAAGGGGAGGGACAGGAAAATGGAGTCATCGATGCTGTTCCTGTTGATGAAAATCTTTTTACTGGGGAAGATTTGGATGAACTAGAAGAAGAATTAAACACACTTGATTTAGAAGAATGACACCAAAGAAGTCAATGAAAAAATTAAGTCAGCTCAGCATGAGTTGAAATTGACTACATTAATTTTTTTCCACCTAGAATTCTTCAACAGGATGTTTGTTTCCCATGCTGATTCTGGAGGGCTTACTCTCCAAAAAAGGAATATTCTCCCTACATCTTGTCTTCTGACTTTGGCTACATCTCATAGTAAGTTCAGAGTAGTTCATGATAAGTTAAAAATATAATGGTCATTGCAGAAAATGATTGATTGTTGTAACTGTCCACTCAAGTAGGAAGTGTAACTGCTTTTCCAGCTTTTGATTTTCAGTGGGCATGCGTTATTACAAGGACAACATAAGTGTAAATTACCCTTCATTTAATGCAGTTTTTAATGAGTGATTTTATTTCCTTTGTATTTATATGTTTAAAAGACTGCCTGAGATATGAGCCTGTACTTCATAAAGGAAACTGCATATGCAGATTCAGTATTGTATATCTTTGGACAATTAGATGGACATTTAAAATGAAACTTCATTAATCTGCCAGGATCAGCTGCAGTGCCCTGTGTTAAACTGTTTTAAACTATTCCTTTTCTTTTTTGCCAATGAAGTTGTAAATAAAGACCGTGATACATTAAAATCCAAGTATGGGCCTTTTTTTTTTTTTAAGATTTTTCTATGAAAGTTTTCTTACCATTTCTAGCTTGAGAATTTTAACTAAATATCTGTTAGAGTTAACTATCACAGAAGGCACAGACACCTAAAGGGGTCTCTTAATACTGATTATAGGACTGTGTAGAGTGCTGATAGCCCTACTATGAGCTTAGTAACACCAATACTTAGCCTCAGAATGAGACCATAGGTGATGTTATATGAAAGGGTAATTACTGAATTGAGGATCATCAACCTAATTAAGTATCATCTACAGTTGAACTAGATACTACTAAAGCATCATTGTGGAGATCCATGGTGTTATAATAGTACCTGATAAAGTTTGATTACTCTGTTTGAGAGAGTGTAAACAAATCCACAAGAAAACTGGGCTGGGGGCCTTTGACATTGAGATCCCCTGAAAAATTAGGGTGATACATTTAAAATGGACATAATTTGCCATTTAACATGTAACATTTAATACTAGTTATACCTTTTTATCATTTTTATGTAAGTATATTTTCAAATATTAATACAGTGCTTCTTTTGTTATTTGCAAATATAAGTGGATTTTAAGATAATAGCACTAAAAGGTCAGGTGACCTGGGCCCTAATTAATTTCTGCCTCAGATAAATTATATGATTTTTAAATCTCTGAACCTTAGTTTCTTCATCTGCATAGAGAAGTTAAAGTGCTTCTGAATTGTAAAACCTAAGAAAACGTGACTGTAAATTTTGTCAAATGATAACATCAAAGTTGGTAAAGAAATTGAGTTCCTGGCTGTTCAGTACTATAACATAATTGACATTTTTAAAATGTAGAATGTCACGAGCCAAGTTTCCCATCTACCGTGGAATTATACTTAAATACTTTCTATGAAAGATTTTTTCATTGTTTTTATTAAAAAGTTTTAAATGTTACTTATGCTTGATTTAATAATGAAACATTTTCAGTTTAAAGTATTACTACCTTACAGTAAGCATGTGATTTTGAAAACCAAATTTTCTTTAATCAGTGAGTTAAAAGGAAAATGCTACATTGTGGAAGTAATTTTTGAAACCCACAATTCTTCATCTAGCCTATAAGTGTCTTTCATTAGAAAAACAATATATGCTCAGAGAACGCAAAAAAGCATTTAAATCTGAAAAAATCAAAATGCAAAATTAAATTTGCTTCTAAAGTAACATATACAGGCATACCTCAGAGATATTGAGGGTTTGATTCAGACCACCAGAGTACAGCAAAGTATTGCAATAAAGCAAGTACACGAATTTTTTTGATTTCCTGGTGCATGTAAAAGTTATATTTACACTATACTGAAGTCTATTAGGTGTGCAATAGCATTATGTCCAAAAAACAATGTACATTCCTGAATTTAAAGCTATAGCTAAAAAATGCTGTCATCTCAGCCTTCAGGACGTCATTGCATTAATATCAAAGATCCCCTATCACATATCACTAAAACAAATATAATAATGGAAAAGTTTGCAATGTTGCAAGCATTACCAAAGTGTGACACAGAGACACAAAGTCAGCAAATGCTGTTGGAAAATGGCACCGATAGACTTGCTCAGCGAAGTACAATAAAATATGGGTATTGCAGTTTTAACAAAGATCTGTGGCATCCCTGCATCAAGCGAGTATATCAGCGCCATTTTTCCAACAGTGTTATTTTTAAATTAATGCTGTTTTTTAATGTTTGTTTTTTTAGATGTAATACTATTGCATACTTAATAGACTATAGTATAAACTTAACTTTTATATGTACTGGGAAGCCAGAAAATTTGTGTGACTCATTTTATTGCAATATGCACTTTACTGTGGTAATCTGGAGCTGAACCTGCAATATCTCCGAGGTATACCTAATATTGTTTACAGTGTAGTTACCCTGTCTTAGTATAATAAATCTGAAATTGGCTCTTGTTTTTCAAACTCATTTACACATAACTTTAAATAGTTTTTTCTTACACATTGCTCTTTTATATAATTTCCATTGTAAACATAGTAAGTCTCTGTAATCTAATTATGTGATGACTTAGCTTCATTTTTAAAGATTTGTGATTTAGAAATTTAGAAACTTACAGTGTAAGCCTTCTACAGGAGGAGAACTGTGGCTTTGCACCTATTTCCATATAATTTGTAAATGAGATCATTTTCCAAAACATAAGAACTTTTTATGTTCTCGTTAACATCTAGGAATTACATCACCCCTACACTCTTTTATCCTGTACTCAATAACAGTTACAACCTATAATGATCCCTTGTTTGCCAAAATATTTCTAATGCAAAATAATTAAATTATGAATTTTAATTTATTTTTTCACAAACGATTTCATAATAGGCCCACCATGGATGGACTGATACCAAATTTTGTAATTGTTGTACCATATATTTGAATTTTAGTCCATTCTGATCATTAAGTGATTTAGAATGTGATAAAAATGAAGCTGCAGGATCACACATTTAGGTATAGCACATCATTAAGAAAGCATTGCATCCATCCTCAGGTTTTAACACACAAAGTACACAGAGGAAGTTTGTGACAAGTTAATACAGATAATTAATAGTATTACTGAATGAGTTCCATTCGTATTCTGGGTATTGAACTTCGTATAAAGAACTTTCAGGATCACAAGCTGTAGGCTACTCCTCACTCTATATATTAAGTTCAGGTCTGTGATTCTGATACATATACTATTATATTAAAGCTTCCAGGTATTAAAACACTTCGCACCGTATGAACTCATATACGTGTTGCAATGAATGTATCACAAGGAATACTGTATGAGAGGTAGGTGGACTACCAAAGTCTTGTGTTTTCGGTTTTTGTCTTTTTTCTGGTGCATATCCCATTGGTAATAGCAGTGTTTTCTTAATAAAGATAATACCTTGTTTCTCAATAAAAACTACAAAGATTGAAATTAGTAGAAGCCCACAGCATTTTAACTTTAAACTAGAATTTAGTAACATCCACAGAATTTCATGACATCTTCAGAAATAAACCTGAATGGCATTAGTACAAAATGTATTTCCAAATACTCCCCTCCCCACCCATTTTAATGTTGTATGTTTACCCTTTCATTGTTCATTGCTTTCTGTTTATAGGCAAAGAAGAAAGAATTAGCTTTTATTCATTCAATTAACAGGTATTTCTGTTATTATTATTCTCTCTAAAACTGTCAAGTGGTTTTTTTCTCCAGCCTTAAGTAGTTTCCTAACATGCACGGGCTAGTCAGCAGTACTCAGTTGAAGACACAAGAGAGACCCTTTGTGTGTCTCCAGAGTTCTCTTTGTGTGTGGCTCTCATCCCTGGCACTTTGCCTTGCAAATTCTAGCTGCCTTGGCTTCCCTAGACTCCATCTCCTCCTGGGTTTCCCCTTCATATCCTTTGGCTAGAAACTCCAGGCAGTAAGCTTGGAAAAATCATGGGGGTCACTTTTGTTTCCCATCTCTTAGAAATCATTGCCTATTGTCTGATATTTATATCTTGAAAACAATTGTTTATATATTACATCTGATTTTTTAATTGTTTCAAGCGGGAGGTAAATCTGATTCATTGCATCATCTTGGCCAGAAGTAGAAGTAAAATCTGAATTTAGATTTTCATCACTTTTTGATACAGGAAATATTTAAATGAAAGCTGATTAATTTTCTCTACAAAATCTGCTAAGAATGTGGGTGTTCACAAAGTACCAAACCCCTAGTTAATTCTTCACCACATTTCCTATGTTTACCTGGGTAACTTATGGTTTTAGTCAGTACTACTCATAAAAATCTACTTGACAGAAATAGCTTTGCTAATATTAAGAATGTTCATATTCCCCCAAAAATCTGGTTTTCCAGATTCTTTTTTAATGATTAAGTATTGGAATAGAAATTCTCTATATGTGAATATAGTATAAAGTATTAAAATCTCATGAAAGCAACTCAGATGTAATATAAATAAATGTCAAGAACTTCAAGGGAAAGAACTTCAGGAGTCTACTAAGTGTCTGAGAAAATGATCTTTTACCTAGTTCTTTGAATTCACTGTTGAAGAGATATATCAGTATTTAAAATGATTCTGTGAAACAAAGAAGATTCCCCCAAATTACTGTTCTTTCTTTCTCAAGGCTTTTAATGTAAAACCCACAATAACTATAGAACTTTATAGAAGCTGAAATATTTAGTGGATGACCTTCTCAGAGAAGATACAAATATATCTTTATGTCTTGTTTTCATTTCCATATGTTTAAATTAAAAGCTGTTGCTTTAAATTGGATCTCTTGGTTCCAGAAGTATCGGAGTAGAAATTCTCTATATGTGAATGTACTATAAAGAAATATATATTTCTTGGTTCAAGAAATATTTGGATACATTTGACCACTTTTGTTTTCTTGGTTCATTTACTTACCCATATATTGATGATGAAGACTGAAGCTAACAGCGCCCTAAAAATGGGGAAAACATTTGAAGTGATAATAACCTGTTTAAGATCTTAACTTTAAAACTTAGGCTCTAGAAATTCAGGGAACATAGAGGATAACAGTTTATTTTACCTCAACCTCTGTACATATCATCCACATAATTATTTAGCTGTGTAATCATCCTGGGATGCTCAGCATCTGCACAGGCTATTTACTAAACATATTGCCAAAAACAGGTCACAGAATTTTTTTTTTTTTTTTGGCTGCATTGGGACTTGCTGCACGTGGGCCTCTTCTAGTTGCAGCTAGCAGGGGCTACTCTTCATTGTGGTGCGTGGTCTTCTCATTGCGGTGACATCTCTTGTTGCAGAGCATGGGATCTAGGCACACGGGCTTCAGTAGTTGTGGCATACGGGCTCAGTAGTTGTGACTCACGGGCTCTAGAGTGCAGGCTCAGTAGTTGTGGCTCGCAGGCTCAGTAGTTGTGGTGCACGGGCTTAGTTGCTCCGCGGCATGTGGGGTCTTCACGGACCAGGGCTCGAACCCATGTCCCCTGCATTGGCAGGCAGATTCTTAACCACTGCGCCACC